GAATGAGGATGGATTAACTGCAGCTTATCGTATATCACACTTAATTGCAAAAAGTGGTAAAAGCCATAATATTGGAGAAACTTTGATAATACCCTCTATCAAAGAATTTATCTCAACAGTAATGCATCAGGATATACCTGAAGTTTTAAAAACATTGCCCCTTAGCGATAACACAGTAAAGAGACGCATTGATGAAATGGCGGCTAATGTTGAAAATAAACTTATAGGTATTCTCCAAAATTCGTCATTTTCTATACAATTGGATGAGTCTGTCATTGCAGATAATAATGCTCTACTGATGACATATGTACGGTACCTTGATGAAAACAATACATTGCAAGAAGAAATGCTATTCACTGTCAATCTGATTACAGATACAAAAGGATTATCAATATTTAATGCTGTGAAATCATACTTTGCAAAAAACAATATACCCTTGAACAATATTGTTGCATGTGCTACTGACGGAGCACCATCAATGGTAGGCCGCTATCGTGGGTTTGTTGCTTACTTGAAGGAAGAAGTGCCAAGCGTTTTGTGTATTCATTGTGTTGTACACAGACAACATATTGTAGGAAAACATTTAAGTACAAGTCTCCATTCATCATTAAGTATTATAATTAAAGCTGTAAATAAGATAAAATCTAATGCCAAGTGTGATAGAATGTTTCGACAGCTGTGCCAGGACAATAACGAGCAGTTTATTAGGTTACTTTTACATACAGAAGTTCGATGGCTCTCAAAGGGTACATGCTTGACTCGTTTTGTTGCATTATTTGATAGTGTCGTACAGTTTTTTGAAAGTGATAATGAGACTGGTCTCTATGAACAGTTAAAAAACGTAAAGAATGATGCCTTTTATTTGGCAGACATTTTCAAGAGATTTAATGACATTAATTTGCAGCTTCAAGGAGCCAATATAACTCTTATAAGTTGCAAAAATATTGTGTCATTATTTATCGAAAAGCTTGATCTTCTCCGTCATAATATTTTCAAGAGAGAATTTCATCAGTTTCCTGAATTGTCCTCTATAAACAATGATGTAAGTCCGGGGGATATTGAAAGGTTCAGTAGTCACCTCAAGGAACTCAAATTGGATATGGAAAAACGATTTCAAGATATTTTGAACTTAAAGGTGCATGACTGGATGATAAATCCTTTTACAGCAAATGTTGCTGAAGTTGATATAACTTGCCAAGAAGAACTATTAGAACTTAAATATGACGAAGAGAGTAAATGTAATTTTGGCAGTGGTGGATACCAAAAACTCTGACAAAATAAAAAAATGCCTGCGTTATATCCAAATATGTGGAAAATGATGTTCAATTTATTGATACCTTTCCCTACCACATATCTTGTAGAATCAGGCTTTAGTGCTGTTAATCATATTATGAGCAAACAGAGAAACGTCTGAATATCACCGAAAGAGGAGACCTTCGTTTGTTCCTTACGAAAATCGAACCAGATATCAAATATTTAGTCTCGCAGCATCAGCCTCAAGGATCTCACTAGTAAAGCTAATTTCAATTTACTTTATTGTTTTCTAATTAAACTTTATAAAGTTAAAAACATTATAAACATGCATAAAGTAGAAATAAAAAGATAAGTGTACGTACATTTATTTATTTTTTTTAAAACAACCTCCTTTCTAAAAAATATTCCGCGCTTGCGCGAAAACTGGTGGGCGGTAAGGAAATTTTTCCATCAAGAAAGATGCATTAGTGGGCGGTAGGTAGAAAAAGGTTGACTACCACTGTACTAAACTGATCAACTATGACCAGTAAGTATTGCTGTTTCTTACCAATTTTGGGTACATGAGTAAAATCAATCTGTAAGTGTGTAAAAGGAGCAGCTGGAGGGGGCAAATGTTCGTGCTGTGATTTGTGTGGAATATTGGGATGTGTTCTCATACATGGTTCACACAATCTAACAAAAGACTGTACATGCTGCCTGAGATTCCTAATATAAAATGATTTCATGAGGAATTGGATGGTACTTGCTATGCTCTTGTGGCCAGGACCATGGGCCTGGCTGATAAAGATAAAACAGCTGGCTTCAGGTATGCCAATCTTCCCCTCTTTAGAAAAAAGATCATTCTGGTCTTTTTCTAAACCTTGTTTAATCCAAAAATCAAAGTCAGATTGCGTTGCAAAGGCTTGGAGCTGCAAAAGCAAACTGTCAGTAGGGCATGTGGGAGGTGTGAGCATAGCAGGAAACATTTCATAGTAAAGAGTCTTGGCTGCAACTTCTTTTGCCACTTTGTCAGCCAAGGCTGACTACCCAGAGTGTGTGCCTTGCAGTGGATAACAGCTACTTCAGATGGGAGTAGGATAGCATCTAGGAGTGATTGGATGAGATTTGTGTGTGAAATGGCTTTTCCATCGGCTCCTACAAAGCCTCTTTGTTTCCAAATCACACCAAAATCATGCACTACCCCATGAGCATATCGTGAGTCTGTGTAAATGTTCACTCGCTGTCCTGAGAAGCTGACAGGCACGTGTGAGAGCATTGAGTTCTGCAGCTTGTGCAGACGGCTGGAAAATAGTGTCAGCTTCAATGATTTTATCAGGTAGCTGTACCACAGCATAGCCTGTGAGGTATGTACCATCATTTGGTCTGGAGCAAGAGCCATCCACAAAGACAGTGGTCACATCCGGGCCACTTAGTGCTGTGGAGGAGAGGTCTGCTCTGGGAGATGTGGCAATATGTATTTGTTCAATGCAATTATGAGGCTCAGATGGTATAGACACAGAGTCAGATGCAGAAGTGAGAATAGCATGCAAAACAGACATAGGACCAGAATTAACAGGACTATAAACAATAGACAGATTCTGGGTATTAAGAAGAATAATCTCATAACCACTTAAGCGCTGGGCTGTCATGTGTTGTGTAGTGAGATTTTTTATAAGCTGAGTAACCTGGTGACTGGTATGGAGTATTGTAGGATGCCCTAGTGTGATAGTAGTAGCAGTCTCAACAGCCATTGCACATGCTGCCAATGCTCTGAGACACACCGGCATACCCTGTACCGGAGCTGGAACTACTTTGGAAAAGAATG